TGTGGTCTGTCGCAGACACAGATTCTCCCAAAAAGGGAGGAAGGACTCAGTGACCAAGGCAGGCATATGCTGGGATGGGCACTCAGGTGGGGATGGGGGGTCTGCATGGGAACGGAGCAGAGAGCAGGTAGGTGCCAGAATATTGCTGCTCCCCCTGTTAGGATGGGTCCGTTTTTGCCAGTGCAGAGCTGTGACAACCCATTCCCTGCCATTTCACACGTGCCTGGCACGGGCAGACACGTACACTCACCAGGGATACGTGCCAAGGGGCAAGGCAGGATTGTGGGATGCATTTGGGGAATGATCCTCTGGTGGCTCTTTCCCCTCTGAGTCTTGGGCAGGGGCTTTGTTCATGATGGTTTTAGCCTTGTCCTGGCAGAGAAGCCCGAGGCCACTCCAAGCCAGTAGCGTGGCACCTATTTAATGGTGCTGGTACTTCACCAAACCAGCTACATCCACGCCACACATAAGCTGGTGCAAACCCAGGGGCCTGTGTGAGTAGGGCAGACCCTGGCACCTCACAGCCAACCACCTCTAGGTCCTCATCACTTAAAGGTCTTCTCCAACCTCGATGGTTCTATGATTCTACCATTCAAACTGGTGCCTGGAAGCAAACCATCCCATGTTGACAAGGCAGTGACAGACTGTTGCAAACATGGATGCTCTACTTTAGCCCATGGGTCAGCAAGGGCAGGATGGTTGGGTGCCCCATCCCCCTGGTCATGTCACCCTGGCCTGCCATGCATGCAATGGACCCGGGGCTGGCAGGACCAGCCAGGAGGCATCGGGTCACGCCAGCTCATCACCTGCCCCAGCTTCATTCCTCTGTGGCACACTCATGAGTGCCTGGTGCTGCCAGGCCCTTTTGTTTCCTGGGCACAGCATCCCACAGCACGCAGGGACATCCCCATGCCCATGAGCAGCCACTGCCATTGCTGCCATGGGGCAAGCCAAGAGCAGCAGGGAAAACAGCGGTACTGGGCAGACTCAGAGCATTAAGCCTGTGTTCAGCCGGGACTCCGCTGAGCCTCGCTGGGTTTCCAGTGCTTGTGATTAGAAACCTGCCCCTGGGGAAGCTTTTTCCACGCACTGCTGGAATGCTGGTGTCTCTGGGGCAGAATGGGGCACGACAGCCCCCGAGACACAGGCCTAGGGATGATGGGGAGGCTGTGCAGCATTGAGGAGCCTCCTGCCCAAGCACCCGTAACTCCCCCTGGCACCCTGGGGGATCCGATCGGATGCCTGATGGGGCTTTCTGGCATGGGCTGCATCAAGCATTCCCTTTCCCCCATCTCCCTCCTCTGCAGACCTACAGCAGACCCTGGGGTAGTGCTGCAGCCAGTCCATGCACTCAGGCTATGCCACCAGTGGGAGAGGTGCTCTCAGTGGGTGACGCTGCCCAACTCCTTATGTGTGCCTGACATGCTGGAAGGCCTCTGGGTCTTCCTGGGGCTCAGCCTATCCTCTTCCTTCCCCCTGTGATTGGGAGCCAGGAGGTCAGTGGACCTGAGCAGTCCTCCCCTGTCGACATCCTCCAGCTTTACTGACCTGGAGAAACAGCCTTCCTGGGCCATGGGGAGAAGACCATGGTGGGTGACACTCACTAGGTACACTAAGACACCATGCTGAGAGCATGGGATAACCTCCCCTGGCATGTCCCCAGAGCCACACGGCAGCAGCAAGCTAGTGGATGATGCCCATGGGATGCTCCACTGCCAAGGAGCACCCACAGCACCGATGGGCCCAGGGCAACTCCTCCTTGAGCTTGAGGATGGGTGACAGGGGGCTGTCACAGTCCTATTGCCAGAGCCAGTGGCTCCCAAGGATGTGTCCCTGCTGTCCCCTTGCTGCTGGGCCAAGCGCCCAGGGTATCTTCAGGGATATGAGGAACATGGCACCGGGTGGTGCCAGCCGAGGCTTGGTGTCTTGCTGCAGCAAGAAAGAGGTGGTCATGAGTTTGGAGTGAGTTGGTGGTGCAAGGGCCAGCAAGGAAAGATGCTGTGAATGGCTGATTCACCAGGTGGGAGAAGGATGCTCCTCATGTCACCTGCCCTGCCAGCAGTAATTTGGCCCATGATACCCACACATCTGTTGCCCCACAGAGCCTGTTTGCCCAGGCAGTACCACGGTGTGGCTGCAGGTCACACCAGATAAGCCATGGCACAGGCTAAGGGTGATGCAGGACACCGTGCTAGGGGCTGCCAGCCCTCCAGAGACACTGTTGAGGCCAGACTGGCAGCACTCTCATGAGGAGCACTACAAGGTGGGTGTTGAGCCCAGGGCCTGAGCCCCAGCTTTCACCCTGGGGTGTCAGCAAGGTGTGGGGTGCGCCACATGGGACTGAGGGTTGTGCCAGGAGGAACCTCATCTGGGGTGGTCGATGGGGGCACAGCCCATGGCTCAGCTGCTCTGTCCAACCAGTACAACCAGTGGTGGCTGGCTGGCAAAGAGAAAGGGGGTGCTGCTGGGGCTGAGGTCCTGCCCTGTGGATCAGGGGGTACAGCACCGCTCGCTGCCCCCCTCCGTGCCCCGCAGCACCTAGCGCAGCTTGGCTGCCCGATGCCAGCATCGGTCCCTGCTGGGCGCCCAGCGGACACCACAAGTGTCGTGTCGTCCCCCCATCCCCATCCCCGAG